TCTTTAAGGAGAAGGCTGGTCTTTCTGCTCCCACAGAAATATGGAGATCATTTTCATAATTTATTATTTCTTTAAGTGCATGGTAGATTTCCTTTAAGAGGCACCTAGGGTGGCCCACTTAAAATAGATCCTGTTTAATAATGCAGAGGGTCTTGAAGGATTGGGGTTTTAAGTGGGCTGGAGCAGCCCAGCACACAGCTTTGGGCGCAGGCTGGCTGCCCGTTGTCTTCCCAGCCAGCACAGCTGCCTTCCCCTCCAGAGGCCGGGGGAGGAGAGGATCTGCGGACAGAGCCAGGACTTTGCCGGAGTGGGCTGTGGTAAGAGGCGGCAAGGCTGGGCTCCTCTCCCTGCTTTCGCTTCCTCTCATTCGTTCATTCATTCATTCATCCACTGCGCAATGGCTTGTCCAGGTATTCACGTGTCTATTTGCTTATTTGCTGGACACAGCGGTGCAGTCAGGATCTAGCCATGAACCAGATGTGGTCTGTGGCCTCCGAGAGCTGGGTCTGTTGGGGAAAGCCTGCACGCCACTGGACACAGGCTTCGGCGCTGTCAGGGGCTGCGCGGCAAGAGGCGAGCTAGAAGAGGCTCCGCAGCAGAAGGCCGGAGATGAGCCACCCTGAAAGTGTTTGTAGGCAAAGAAGGGGCGTGCGCGCGTGCATGTGCGTGTGCAGCGTGTAGTGCACGCACCAACAGGAGCTTGGTAGTTTGGGTGGTGAGAACACAATATAGAGACAAAACAGAAAATGGAAGACAGGACTGGTTCACTTCGGGGACCGAGGTCTGTAAGAACCCGTGTGCAAAGGTTAAAAGATGGTGCTAGGGAGCTGGGACCGCTCAGGGTGCGTGTTCCGGAACTGCACAGAGGGCGAGGAAGGGCATGCAGCTTCCAGTGGCACAGGATCCGACCCACGCTGCTGCCCGCAGACCTCGGCTACACTCGGGATCCCTGGAAAGAGGTGTCTTCACCCCATGACTCCTCCGCTTGCAAAGTCCGAATCTCCGCCATCCAAGTCCTCCACGCCCTTCGTGGCTCTGCTCCAGCCCCTGCCAGGAAGGCCTTCTGTGGCCAGCCCTCCCCTCCTGTGCGCCCTGGGATCGCTGTCTGTCATTCCATCCTGAATCGTACAAGCCACAAATGGACTTTGCTCTTCCCTTCCACTGCCCCGCTGCTTCCACCGGGAGATGCTCATGTGGCCGTCAGGCTGTGTGCGTCCTCCAAGTCCGCAGTCCTGCAGTGTGGCCGTGCCCTTGAAGTGGCCTGGAAGGCCCCTCTGAAAATTTCTGTGGACAAGAGAGAGGGGAGGGTGGTTTGAAAGAAGTAAGAGAGAAACACTCAAGGCTGCGGGGCTGGCCAGACGTCATTCTGTGCTCTGCACCCCAGGGAGGCGCTTTGGAATTATGTTTTCCCTTTCTGCTTTGGGTTGAGCCCATCTTTAGTCCCTGGAGAGGCAGCCCTTATTTTTCTCCAGGTTTCCAGGGGGTTCGAGAGCATCTCATATTTCTCTGTTTGGCAAATAGTCAGTCCCCTGCCTTCCTTCTCCGGAATCAGGAATCCCAGAAATTAAAGCCAGAGGGACTCGGGTTTCTTTCTGAGAAGGAACCGCAGCAGCAGATGCCAGCCGAGCCCAGGAAATCCAGCCGGGAGGGGGCACACAGGGTCTTGGGTGTTCTGGGAGGCAAGGAGAGGGAAAGCCCTGAATACAATGCTGTAATGCTGCAGGGGGCAGGCTCAGGTTCCCAGCCCGAAGCCAGGGCCTTCCTTTCAAATCTGTGTCTCAGCCTGCAGGGCCGGCAGCAGCCATTCTGCTCTCTGCCGTGTTTCTCTCTGAGTGGGGAGAGAAGGCCAGCTCTTCTCTCTGGAGCAGGGATGGAAAGAAAGCAGTTCCACTGAGGGAAGCGGGGCGCAGCCCAGATGCCAGCAGACGATGGCGCACGAGCAGGAGGAGAGCGCCAAGGAGCCAGGCTTGGCTATGGCAGGGCTGCTTCTAGGAGGAGCAGAGCTGACACCTGAATCTTGGCTTGTTTCCCCCTGGAGAACCCTTTAATGAGGTTCACAGCTGTAAAATCACAGAATGAACATTAACAATGCTAATTACCCAAAGTTTAGCCCTGAACAGTCTCAACCACGTGCCTTGGGGACATACTTTTGTTCTGGCCCTGCTAGGCAGTGGCGTAGGATGAGGTGGTGACAGCAGAGGACAGGGCCGCCCTGGGTGGGGGTGGGTAGGCCAGTGAGCCGGCAGGTTGCCGGGCGGGCGCTGGGAGGAGAGGCCAGCGTGAGGCTTCCCAGGGGTGAATCAGTGCCTGCGGGAGACCCTACCTGATGGAGCTGGGCAGAGTCCATTTGCTGACCCATTTGGACCTGGAGAAAATCCAGTCTTGTCCTCTCACTGCTTTCATAGTCTGGGGGGCTCCTCACACCCAGCCTGTCCCACCTTCCCGCCCTAAAGCGAACAGAACCATCAGTAACAGAAAACTGTGCTAGCCAGTGGGTTGAGTTGGAGCTTGGAGCTCAGGAATCTTCCTTCCAGCCCTGTCCCCAGGACTTCCAGGCATTCTGAAAGCCCATCTCAGAATGCTGGGTCTCGGCAGAACCACCTGGGAAGGTCACTGCCCCGGAGCACCTTAAGACTCCAGCACCCTTACGTTGCTGCCTTCCCAAGGCAAGGTATGGAGACAAGCTTTGGCAAGTGCCCTGAGGGTCTCTAACCCAGGCGGGTGGCTCAGGGACTGAAGGACAGGCATGGTCACCTGTGTGCAAGCAAACTTCTGCCCACTCTGCTCCTTACCCAGATGTGCCTGGACCTAGTAGCCCTAGGTGTACAGAACCTCATGCCTGCATCTGTACACTGCAAAGTCACCCAGCTTGAGACAGTAAGACCTGGAGCTTTGGATTCCTCTCTAGCAAGCTCTCTGCTAACCTGAGGGAGAGAAGTGTGTCATGTCCCTGTTACACCTCACACCCGTGATGTCCCTACCGTGAGGCCTCTCACAGTAGCCTTTATCTCTGGTACCTTGGTGTGCCCTCCCTAACACATCACCACTCCGTGCCTTTTCCTCTCCCCAGTGACAGGCACAGAAAACCCATTCCGATCTCTGTCTGACTGACCCGCCTTTGGCTTGCTCCAGCTCCCCCCCCCGCCCCCACCACCTCTTCCATCCTGCCAGCTTCTCCAAGGGACACCAGTTTCTAGTCTGCTGCGACTTTTCTAGGGCGGGTGAACCAGAGCCCTTTCTCAGCAGCTAGTGAAGTGGGACTGTTTTAACTCACTCCAACCACTGTACCAAAATACCTTAAACAGAGTTAGAAACTGTGGAAATGCATTTTCTGTCGTGCTGGGGGCCGGGAAGTCCAAGACTGGGAGGGACGCCGGCACGCTTCGAGTCTAGCAAAGGCCCTTTCCTCAGTTATTGTCGTCATACTTGCACCCCACAGAACGAAGGGACCGGAAGCGTCACTTGGCCCATTTGTGAGGGTGCCGCCTCCATCAGCTGATTGCCTCCCAAAACCCCGACTTCCTGGTACCAGGGCCTGGGACAGGGCACTGCAGCACGAGGTTCTCGGAGGAGCATGACACGCGGATCACCGCGGCCTGGGAGACGACGCTGTGGGCCCTGCGGTTAGGACAGAGGCTGATACAACCCTCGGTGCAAATGGAGGCCTTCGCCTGGGTGTGGGTGTCCTTTTCCTGCCTGACTTAGTTATGAGTTCAAGGCCCGCAAATCAGCAGATCAAGGCTACCAGATCAGCAGTTCCACACTGCAAGCCCACCTGTCACCTGAGGCCACTGTGGATGGAGGGCGGGCCTTTTCCTCTGGCCTGTGGAGGCGGCAGCCTCTCCCCCTGCAGGGAAGGTTCAACAGCCTGCTCGATGGCCCACGTCTGCCGCAATAATCAATGGCTCTACTGCTGAAATAACAGGCCACCTCATGCTGACACCAGCAAAGCCTAACGGCTAGGAATGACTCCTTGAAGAGCAGGGAGCGCGTAGCCAGTGGAGGGGACAAAGCTGGCTTGGCACCTGCAGCTGCTGTGCCCACTGCACCCACTGAAACACACAGGCAGCTTCCCACTGGAAGCAGAGACCTGGCCTTCCGCTCTCTGAGCCACACCCACCCCTAGCCCTTGCGCTTTGGTCTACCTGGTGCCTGCCTCTTGGCCAGACTGTCAGCCCCTGAGGGAGGGGGCTTTATGTCCCCAGCACCCAGCTCATGGAACAGGCTTTATATGTGTTCATCTTTAATTTAGTTTCAGAAATCTGACTCTTTACTTGTAGCCAAGGGAAGCCAATCTCCTTGTGGACCAGGAGCCCGGCCGCAGAAGCTGTTCTTCTAAGGTCATTGTGAGGCAAATTCTGGAGATTCTGCGGGCAGGGCTCGCTTCCCTGCAGCCTTTGCTCACCCAGGGCAGCCATCTTGCTGCCTTTTACGGAAGGAGCTTCTGCCCTGAGAGGGCAGGAGGAAGGGGGAAAGCAGGCGGGGTGGGTGGGGTTGGCTTCTGGGGGCCCTCCACGGGCCTCTGCACCCTGCCATGCTCTCCCCCCCACCCCCGGCTCCTGCTGTGGCCATCTCTGAGTCCCTGACCTTCCCTCTGCCAGAAACTCCAGTGAGCCAGCCCCAGAAAGCCCTGTGATCTCCGCAGAGGGGTCTCCAGCAAATGAGCCGCTCGCCACTGCCAGCTGCAGCTCTCAGCTGAGGCCTGAAATTGTGAGGCCTGCTATGCCCGTGCAAGCTGCCAGGGCGGTTTCCCTAGAGCCCATGCACAGAGGGCTCAGAATCCATCAGCGTGGGGCTCCCGGGGCTCCTTGTAGGTACCAGGGGCGTCCCCACACCCGGTGCACACGCACGCATGTGTCCACACCCACGACACACACTCTACCCAACAGGAAAGGGCTCTACCGAAGTACAATGCACACAAGGACAATCGCTCTTCTACAGACAAGGGTGGGGAAATAACACAGAGCTTCCAGGAGTTTTAAAGCCTTTTATTTGTTTACACATTCTCTAAATTGCAGACAAAAGATTTGCTACGTGGGTAGTCAACACTGCTAACCAATCACAGAACTAGATACTAACCACAGCAAGGAAGAGATGGGGCTTGTGACTCAGTCTTTATGAATGTGGAAGGGTCCCCTGAGGGACTAAGAGTTCCAGGAGCCGCAAAGATAGCAACTGATGGGTGCCTGTGCTGACCACCATGGCACCAGCTTGCAGTCTTGCCCTCTCCCCAGCCCCCTCCCAGAATCCACTGAGGGCAGGAGGAAGGGAGGGGAGGGTCCTTAGGGCAACCCTTCCTCCCGCCTTCTGAATGAAGAGCAGCTGCCTCTCCTTCCCCAGGCAACTCTAGGTCAGTGAGCCGGGATCCAGCCGAGAGCCATTGCCAACCTGTAGATTCCCCGGAGACATTCACAATCCGCCCGTGTGTCCCTAGGGATGGTGGGGGACAGGGCACAGCCACACCTCCACTACTGAAACACTGAGAGACCTTGACACGTCCCTTAGACCACGCAGAAACAGCACAGCACTTTTCACATTGGGAACCACAAAAAGAGTAAGAATTGACACCTGGAAGAAATGCGCATTCCTAGAAGACAGAGGACCAGGGCGCCCGCGCACACACGTAGAGGCTGAAACTACAATCACAGCATGCCTGAGGGACAAGCAGAGCCAGCCATGTGGCGAATGGACGCATCGCATGCTTGTGGCTGTGGAGGCTTTGCAGAGAAGGCGGAGGACACTGAATGGAGCTGTGGTCCTTGGCCCCTCCACACAACTTCCACAGTCTGCAGCCCTTTTCTCTTACCTCACGAAGCTGATTGGCCTGTTTTGCACACCCAAGCCAAAAGGCAAAAACTCTCATTGTTCAGTCAGCAAGAGGCAGTGCAGCGCTGGGTACGAAGGCCCAGCATAGTGGGGTTCAAGGGCATGAAAGGAAGCCCCACCCTCACAGCACTGCCCATGCCACGGACTGGCTCTCCCAGTCAATCTAGGTAACTGAGATCCAAAGGAGTTGGTCCGAGGGCTAGAAGGCAAGAGCACACAAGAGGGTGATGGTGGTGTGGAACTGAATGGCTCCTTTTCTAGTGCCCACACTAGGACGCCTGCATCCTACCTGCAGATCGAGGGTACCACGGAGACCAGTGATCGAGAGCATCAGAGTATTGCAAGGTCCTGTTCTGAATGCAGCCCAGATCCGGGGAGGGCAGTGAATTCCTAAGATTGGTGCCTCACTCCTGTCCCAAGCCAAGGCTTCCAATGCCCTGCTGGCTGCTTGGGACAGTGGCATTAGTCTGGCCTCAACGGAGTCCAGGTTGGATGGGCTTCCTCCCTGCTCCCAACCCCACCAGTGCTAGACAGGTGTCACCCTCCATTCCCAGGCGGTTTTGTTGCAAAGAATCTTCGCCACGTGCCTTCGTATGCGTGGTGGCCGAGCCCCAGACCCTGTGGCCAGCTCACAGGCCCCAGGCTCATAGCCCAGCCTCACGTCCTCTGCACAGAGGCCACTGAAGTCCCCCTCGCTCAGAGTCCCAGGCCCAGAGGAGCCTCCTCACAGGCCACTTCCCACCAGCCCGAGCTGACCTCCCATAGGGGAAGACCTCCCCCAGGCCCTCACCAGGCCAGCATTTCACTCACAAGCACCCTAGTGTGGCTTCTCCAGGGAACAGCTCAGAGTAAAGCAGAGATGGAACAAATGGTTTACTCCCAGTGCTGTCAACACAGACAACTGGCAGTCAAGTGAAGCATGAAGCTAGGATCTGAAAAGCCCCTGGCCGAAGGCAGGCAGAGGAGGCTTAATAAAAGCACCTCTAGCAGTGAGCTTCACACACACACACACACACACACACACACACACAGAGAGGCCACCCATGTGGGAGTACCCCCTGCACACTGGGCCTCCCTTGCCAGGGTCCCCATGGGAGCCCATGTAATCCGTGTACTAGGCTCTGGCCCCACCCCCACCCCAGCAGGGCCTGCACAAGGGTCATCATGTGGGTCACTTTCTGCTGCTACTCAGGCCCTGCTGACACTGCCACCCCACGCTGCACCCCAGGAACCAGAACGTGGCCTTCAGAGACACAGCCTCGAATTCCTGGCCGCTCAGCACGGTCCCCCAAGACACCTCCAGCACCTCACTGCCACTCCTCTTCCAAGGTCAGCCAGGCTTTGGGGAAACATGGAGGCAGTGGGGCTGAGGACTCCTGGCTTCTCCGTAGCCTTCAGAGGATGGACGTAACCAGATGTGTCCACCTGCTAGTCTTCCACTGATGAATGGTTGTCGTTAACAGAGCCCTGGACATGCACAGACACCTTCCTGTGAGGCGTGCTATCCAACACAGGTCAGGATTCCACGGCAGAATTTACTTCTACAGCTAAGAAGCAGCCTGCAGGCCGAGCCTGCGTGTGGCTTGTTTGCCCAGCCCTGTAGAACCTAAGGCATTGCTGTGTGCATAGTTGTGGCCCTGCTGAGAGTTTGAGCCAGTACCAACCCAAGCAGCAATCACTCTTGGCATCAGGAAATGTGCCCATTTGCTTTCGGAGAAGCAGCACCCAGAGCGGCACACAGCAGACAAGTGGTCACCACCGCTTGCCCGAGCGTGACCCACCAGCCTCCCCAAGTGCCTCACGGACTGGGTGCACCGGTCTCCCGGCTCCCCGCAGGCCTCGTCCACCTGCCCACACCTGCTCCGTGCTGAGATGGACATCCTGCATCTTCATGCATTCGCCCACACACTACCCAGTGCTGTTTCCTCTGCTCTTCCTAGTCCCTAACTTAGATGACTCCAAGTAGATGCTGAAAAGGTGCGCAGCTGCATTGTCTTCCTGGATTAGGCTGTTTTGCTCCCCCACCACCCTGCTCTTTGGCATCCTGCCTGGCAGGAGGGAAGGAAGAGAGGGTTTCAGGGAAAGGAAACACAGGGGAAAACAAAGGCCCCAGTGGGCCATAAACATGAAAGGGTGACGTCAGTAAAACCCTACGCCCTATGCTAGCCTTAGTCTTTGCTTCCCTTTGATAGCAGAATGGAGACGTCTTTGTTTACAAGTCCGCCACTGTCACTAAATATCTCGCCCAAAGAGGCAGAGGTGAGCTGGAGACAGAGGGCGTTGGTGGAACTGATGGCTTTCTACACACAAAGGCCCCTTTACAGCCATGAGCCCCGTGGCCAGGCTGGCAGGGCGCTTGAGCCTCTGGGTTCCCATCCTGGGGTGACACCAGCAGCTCCCTTGGATTCATCGAGCAGAGCATGTGTGTGTGTGTGTGTGTGTGTGTGTGTGTGTGTGTGTGTGTACATACACCATCTCTGGTCTCACGGATATTAATATTAATACAAAGAGTTGAGCCAGGGAGAGTGTGAATTTAACTCAGGGATTGGGGCTCCCAGCCACCCCCACTTCCTACAGGGATGGCTTCTGGCCCCCAACGGCACCTACTTCAGGCTGGGCTAGTGCCGCCTGTCTGGGCTAAAGGCCTTATTAGTAATCACACGGCTGCCCAAGGGTTCTGGCCGCCCGCCAGCCGCAGTGCTGCCTTCCTCTGGCCTGCCCTGGAACATGTCATCGTCTTCAGAGAAACTGCCTTCTCGTTTCGTTGCAGGGCCAACACAGGAGGCCGCGTGTCCCTTGTCCAAGGCCTCCGGCCCGCAACCTCCCCAGGCAATGGAGCAAAGGAGAGGGAAAGGGGACAGAGAGGGGACCCATGGCACTGCTGCACCCTCTGGCCAGTGACACCCCTCACAGTCTCGGGGCTCAGTCCCTTTCAGCTGGGAGTCACAGTCAGGGTGTGCTCAGAACCCATGCGGGTCGTGCTGGGACTCGGTCTGATTCTCCGTTCTTCTCTGCACACAGCAGCTTCCCTTCTCCTTCTGGGAAACTCACTGGAGGTGTGACTGGCTGGCAGGGACCCCAGCACCACCGCCTGGCTGGAAGCACAGCAAAGGAGCCCTGCCGCCAAGCCCCTCCCTCTGCGGGGGCTACAAGCACCCTCCCACCTCCCCTGCCCTCCACCCCCACTAAGCAAGAACCCTATCTGCCTCTCCTAAAGACAAGACCACCTGTCCCTCCTCCAGCCTCTTTAGAACAGGATTCCCAGCTCACCGAGGTCCCTGGCTGTCCCAAAGGTGCTGAACCAGCCCACCCATGCCGCTGTTTCCAACTCAGGGCAGGCAGCTGTGGCACCTGGCAGAGAATCGCGGACAGGCCGAAAGCCTGGGCATGCTCAGAGGGGGAGGGGCCCGCACCAGGCAACTGCAGAGCCCGCCTTCAGAGGACAGAGAAAGCAGAACCAAGAGCAGCTGGGGCCGGGTGGGACACTAGCCGCTGAGGCGCACTGAAATGTCCGCTGGTTCCTTGTCCACTACACTAATGCCAGTGGGCATCTGAAAAGCAAAGCCATCCTTTGCGGGTTGTGTAAGATTCCAGAAAGTACAATACCGTGGGGCGTTGGGGGGTTATGACGGGGGCAGGGACAGGACTGACCCTTCTTCCAGGATCCCCTTCCCCTCTCCTTACCCAGCTTGCTGGCCTACCAGAGTACCGAAGGTGACGTCAACGCCGCCCCTGAGAAGTGCCAGGCCTGGGACTCAGGGATCTGGCCCCCGGAAGCCAACTTCTCTTTGAGCTGTGACATAGTGAATCCCCAAGGAGGGGCCAAGAGTGGGCCCAGGGAGTGGGAGAGGCAAGCAAAGCACTCTCCTGTCAGCACTTCTGAACAGGTGAGAACTAGCCTGGGGGAGGGCGGCCTGGTGGCCCTTGGGACCTGCTTGGGCCCCCGCCAAGCATCTGTGGCCTCCAAGAGGAGGCTGGTTGCCGCCCTGATCTGTGTCTGGAGCCTGAGGCAGGCGAGATCTTCCTTCAGCACCACAGAGAAGCACAGGTCTTCTCAACTTGCCCCAAAGGAAAAGTAGCAGCAGTCGTGTCATTTTTATTCCTTAAGATGTCTGGACTTTTTAAGAGGAGGGCTGGAAGGAATCACGCCAGATTCAAAGCATGAAGATAAAAAAAATGTACCAGAAGTGAAACTCCCCAGGGTGTCACAAGACCTTCCCTGGGACATGCAGGCCCTCCGACAGCCAGCTAACAAAACCCGTTATCTTCCCCAGCTCTGAAGGAATCTGGCCTCCCTGCTACCTACCCATGGGGGTCCAAGCTGAGGCCTCAAGAAGCAGCCTCTGCAGCGGGGTTCTGCCACCTTCCCTGGGCGCCTACCTGGCCCCAGGCAGCAGCAGGAGGCGGCAGAGCCAGGTACTGTGAGGGCCTGCTGCGGAAGGAGTACTGGGATACAAAGCGCACTTCTCTTTCCCCACAGAGCTGCCTTCCCTAGATTTACGACAGGCCCCCAAATTAGTGTTTCAGAGATGTCAAGCAGGAAGCAGGACCTCGTCCTCCATCAGCTTCTGCAGACTCACCTCTGGCCGGCCTCACTCGGGGCCTACACCCGTGGCTTCAATCCCGGCCACCACCTGGCTGCAAGGTACGCGTGGGCCAGGAGGCCTGCAGGGAGGAAGTCACCGGGCCACAACCAGCCCCTTAAGTCCGAGTACAGCCAGGCTTTAAATCAAGGTTAGAGCGAGCGCAGGCCTGAAGGGAAACAAGTTGCTGCCCCTAGAAGGCAGCGCTCCCTGGCAGGCTGGTTAATGGTGGCGTAGAAGGGCGTGTTGGAAGGATCCTCATTCTAAAGCACCCAGCCACCTGGTAAGCCTCGCTTTCCGAGGCAGCCCGTGAGAAGCCATCTCCTTGGTCCCAGACGGGCCTGGTGGCCCTGGCTACAGGCAGCCTGGGCTCTTCAACTTTAAATCCCCTTGCGTCTACAGGAAGAGCCCAAGAAGGCGGCTCATCCGGCTGCGGCACGCCTGGAGCCTGCCTGCAGAAGCTCTGCTCCATAGCACTTGTTCCACAATGCTTTTAAGGCCCCTAGCAGAAGCAGGCAGGAAGGGTGTTAGCGTCTCCATTTTACAGGTGGACAAAGCGAGGCTCAGGGCTAGTAAGTGACTTGCCCGAGGTCATACGGGTATTCAGTGGCAGAGGCCACACTGAAGCCCCGCCCTCCCGCGCACTCCAGGGTTGTATCTCATTCTCAGTGTTTGAAGAAGCAAGCCGATCTGAAGTTTACCAGCAGCAGCCTCCCCCTCAGCGCAGAAGGTAGTACACGTGACCGCAGGTGCTTCCGTCCGCTTGCACAGCCTCATCCGCAAGCTCCCTGGATGGGGACACTGAGGCTCACGCAGAAGGGGGAGTTCGTTGCTCCCATTCCGTAGGGAGTAATGAGCTGACAGCGGAAGCCCAGGTCTTCTCCGACATGATTCCAGAGCCCAGGCCCCTGCAGTGGCAGGGAGGCTCCCGCAGCCCGCTGTGGCTCAGGAGCCTCGGTCCACCCTCAGCTCCACGAGCTGGGGACGTGGCTGTGGGCTGACCAGGCCCATCATCCACATTCCCACGGGAGTGGATTCGCACTTTCCCCACAAGAGGACTGGCCAGTTGTAAAGCCACCATTTTTTACTTCAGTGTATCTTTTCCACTTTTAGGCCATTGTGGCGTTTGGGAAGATTTAGGAGTTCTTTTTCTGTAATCAATGTAAAATGACTGTCCCAGCCAATAGTCAGCCTTTGAGGAGAACCTGCTTTGGGTTGTATGGAAGGTTGTATGAGACAGGACAATCACAAGACAAAATGTCCCTCTCCACAGCGCTGGGACCCTCCCAGCCCTACCCCGAGCCTTCAGTATCCAGACCAGCTCACCAACTATCAGAAGGAAGAAAATAGCTTACAAGGAAGAGAAAAATCTGATCTGAACAGGGGCCCTTTAAAAGAAATCATTACATATGAGTTAACGCATTCCGAGGCCGTGGGCCCTGCGGGAGAGTGACCCCCATTCTCTTGGTCATTCTACACAGGTCAGTCTACATAGGGGCGGGGGGAGCCACACGGCTTGGCTGGACGCTGGGCTGCCCTGGATCCCCTGGCTGAGAGCGATCGGTCGGCCCCCACCGAGCTACAGAGCAACACTGCAGCCAGGCAGAAGTGGCCCAGCTAGCCCGGGTCTCCAGGGGCTTCTTCAAGAGCCAAACAACTAAAAATAACCTGGCCTCTGTTGTACGCTGCCGGACTACAGAGATGGAGCCAGTTTCAGGAAAGCTGAGCATGCGCCAGGGCCCCGCTCGCAGTGACCTGCCCTTTGGGCAAATGATTTCTCTAGAACTGTATCGGTTATTGTGCTGTTGCTGCGATTCAGAGAGTCCAGGCCGCTTCAGCCTGCCGAGCTGTCCTCCAGCAGAGTTCTCAGAATCTAGCTCCAGCCTCTTTCTTCTGGAAACACTTTAAAAAAGAAGAGTCCAGCTCCTATGGTGGGGGGGGGAGGGTGGCGGATAGGAGACAAGAACAGCCTACAAGCTGAGGGGTCAACGTCATCGCCACCTATCACAAATAATCCAAATAATCACATTACCCTAACCATCCACTTAAGTAATAATTATCCGTCCTTTTTCCTAAAATTTCCCATCAGATCTCTGCAGACAAAAGCACACACTTACACCATGTGAAAGGAAGAAATTACTCAGGAAAAGGAATTCATAGTGTAACATCAATACTGAAGAGTTTCTCAAAGCTGTGGTCTCTGCAGCCATCGTTTGGATACGTGACTGGGAGTCTCAGCTCACCTGACTGGAGCCCAGCACGAGGAGGAGCTGACCATCCCGGTACCCTCAGCTCAGTCAGAGGCAGAGCCTTGAGCAGCTCCCTCTCTCCATGGGCTGTGATTTGTCTCACCTCAGCTCTGACGGGTGAAGAACTAGCACAGTCCCTTGCCAAGTCTCTCCTCACAAATAACAAACACTGAATGGCTATCGCAGGCCTCAACATGATTTTCCCAATGTTTCTTCCCATCTCTCAGTCCCTCCCCATCCCCTCCAAGTGAAAATTCAGTCAGTCAAGGCCACCCCAGCTGTGGATGCCACTGTTGAGGTTCCACAGAGAACTCTTCTTTACAAGGACTAAGGAACAAGACGGGGTTTCAAGGCTCCATCTTCAAGACGGCCTCCAGGATCCAAGTCCAGAATTTTCCAGTGGCTTGGAATAAGCAACAACTTCTCCACAGCACTTTTTTCCTCTGGTGCAAATCTAGTATGAAGAGGCTAAACTGGGGGTGCAGAGGCTGTGCAAAGATAGATTTAAAAATAACACCCAAGTGATTGATGAGTGATCACAAAATGATTTCCTTTAAAATGGAAACCAGTGAGAAAGTTGTAGTGCGAGGGTACAAGTGAGGATTCCACAGGGCCGGGGCTGGGGGTGTTCTTCAAAAGTGCAAAATCCTTCTGGTACAAACAAGGAGATGCTAGCTGAAGTGCCATCTGTGGGCAAGAGGTAAAGTAGACGCCTCACCCTCTCGGTCCCACACGTCCACACCCTGCTGTGAGTATTCACTTTCCTTACAGCTGGTCTGTCTGGAAGTGTGGGAGGGTGGCCGCATCCGGTTGGAACTGGGCTCTGGCTCAGCCTGTCCAGCTCAGGTCACTTGCTGTGACCTGGGGCTCTAGGCCTGGCAGCCAAAGGCTGACGCTTTCTCTTTGAGCAGCTCCCAGCATAAGTGGCAGCTCCAGCTTCCTATAAGAGACAAGATGGCATTAGTAATGGCCCCCTCTTCGGATGGTGAGTCCCAGCCCAGTGATGCTAACTCCTCGTCAACCCTATTGTCCTCTGCCTTCCACCATTCAGAGCTCGGATCTCAGTCCTAAAGACATACTACAGTCTTGCTCAGCAGGAAATAAATTCTCAGAGGTCATCAGCTGAGCTCTGTAAAGACCCTCGCTCCTGGGCCACCTCTCGCCCTCCCAGCATCTCCCCTTCCCACCTCTCAGCCTCATGCCTAAGGAGTGTTTCCTCAGCCCTCAAGCTGAAGTTCCTGCCGGTTGAGCCGCACTTCCGTTTCCTCAGGTTAATTTGACAGCGACTGTACCTACCTCAAAGGGTTGTGACGACTAAATGAGACAAGACATGAAAAGCCCTGAGTGCAAGGCCTGCGCCCAGCGAGGGCTCAGTGAGTGGTAGTGGCTGCTGTTGGTACTGCTGACCTCATCATCATTACCTTCTGGGGGCTCAGCCACGGGGGGGCTTAAGCAGTACATATGATAGCCACGGTCACAGTCGTCGCAGAAGAGGAGCTGGTCCTGGGGGCACAGAGCACACACAGAGCAGAGGAGACGTTCACTGTTTGCGGCCACTACCCGGCTGCTCCTTATTCCTCCAGGCTTATTCTGCAGGTCAGTTTCTGGGGCGCCCCTTTCCAGGTCCTACCCGAGGCCTCAGTGGCCCTTGAGCTTGGCTCACTTTGCCTGCACCTGGTATTTCTCCTTCTGTCTTCCAACCTCACAAGTCCCATCCTCCTCTTACCCTTGCTCACCTCACTCCTCCTCCAAGCAGCTTTCCCTGACTACTAATTCACAGTCAAACTTAGGAGGAGCCGGTGCTCTTCTGAGCTCCATAGCCAGCAACTTTACTTCCAAAGATCAGAAAATTAGGTTTATATATTTTTCCATTCCCATGATAGCTGCCTATATAGGAAATACTTTACATGTCTGAAACTCTTAACAGAGGCCTCTGGCCTTGCTGTCTATGAAGTGCACATGAGCTGTACTCGGTAGCCACATCCACGACCCATCAGCCCCCTTCAGGGTTTCACGATGCGAATGGAGAGAAAAATGCTGCCCTTTGACTCCCAAAAGCCTCTTTGAAGCTGGAGGCTGGAGCCCAGACCCCAGCAAGACAGAGGCTGACTCCAGAGGCTGGGAGACCAGGGAGCAGACTGTTAAGCTTCCCAGATGACCGAGAATGGTGGCCTAACCTGAGGTTGGGACGCGGGGGCAAAAGGTGGCTCTTGTGCCCACTTCCGATTCATTGATTCAATGTAGAGAATGATACGGAAGAAGTCCAGGTAGTTTTAACAGGCTGTGGATTAGATGACAACTCAAAGGACAAAGCCACCCACTGAGATACAGGCAGAAGAATGAGGCCATGGGCAGAGAGGACACCGCAACTGGAGACATGTCTCATAGATAGACATCACCCAGCAGGGACAGCCTAGAGACAGCCAAGATCCGAGAAAGGTCTGGGCCTGAAAGAGTTTTGGAATCACTGGTGGGTAAATGGAAAATGAAGGACCTAGGAGAGGAAGCCCAGGGATTATGAAAGCAGACGTGTGTGAATTTGTGCTTATGGGGGTCATGACCCTCTAGGAATGATGCGCACAACTGTGTATGCAGATAGGAATATACACTTTTCTGAGAAAAAGTAAATCCACAGCTTTGACTAAATTCTCTGAAAGATCAACAGCCCAAAAGAGGTGACTGGGAAGAAGATTAGGAACAGATACTTGAGGAACGCCAACTTTAAGAGAAAGCAGAGGACAGAGACAGAGAGGCTCCACTCAGGAAGTGGGATGGAATCTTGCATCCCAAGAAGCTGCAGCATTACGTCTTAGTCACACAGGCCAAATGTTAGGACTTAGGGATGACGCGAAGAGAAACAGGCTAAGACTGGGCCAGAGAACAGAGAGAGGCTTGGCAGAAATCGCATGACCAATACCCTAAAAACACTAAGCACCAAAAGGAGAACCAGAGGAAGGTAGAATACCCCAGATTAGACTGTCCCAAAGGAAAGTCAGACCTCAGACTTAGGAATGAGAAGGATGAAATCGCGACAAATCCTGTGGAAATCCAGTCAGTTCCTCCTTTAAGAGTCTGCACTCTAATAAAATGGAAAACACAAAAGAAATGGACAGATTCCTAAATACACGTGAACTACTGAAACAGAATCAAGAAGCTATAAATATTCTAAATAACCTGATATCAACCTAAATAACATGAATATATATAGATCTGCATATACAAAATAGCATAAATATACGGCTACTTTCTCTTAGTTCAGTGAGAAGAAGGTTTTGAACTAATAGTGTTTAGACAAGATAGCATGTCTGCATCTTGTACTAGGAACAACTACTACCAAGACAGCAATATGCAGTGTATTAATTGTTGTAACTGTACTACTAACCTGTTTTGAAACTGTCTCATTGCTACTTCTTTCTCAATAAAATTATTAAAATATTTTTTAAAAACAACATGAAAAGAAGTCCAGGCCCTGATGGATTCACTGATGAATTCTATAAGAAATTTAGAGATCTAATGCCTACCAAATAATAAAACAAAAGATTTTATTTTTATTTATTTATTTATCTTGCAGAGCCAGGTATTGAACTCAGGCCCTCGCACTTGCCAGGCAAGAGCTTATTCAACTGAGCTATCTCTTTAGCCCCAAAAGATTTTAAATTAAAAAAAAAATTAGAGAAAGATCCAACCAAAAAAAAAGAAAATTACAGGCCAATCTCTCTAATGGACATAGGTGCAAAAATCCTCAGTAAGATACAGGCAAACAGAATGTAGCAAATCTTTAAGAACATTATACACCATGACCAAGTAGGATTTATCCCAGGAATTCAGGGATGGTTCAAATCAGTAAATGTAAAGTGCCATATTAACAGATCAAAGACAAAAAAAAAAAAAAAACACTTGATACCTACAAATCATAGTGAAAATGGCCATATTCTCAAAACTGTTATATAGGCTTAATGCAACCCCAATCAAAGTACCACTAGCATACTTCAAAGATCTAGATAAAACATTCCGAAAATTCATCTGAAGCCAGACGAGACCTAGAATAGCAAAGTAATCTTGGGCAATAAAGGCAAGGCAGGAGGTATCACAATACCTGACTTGAAATTATACCAAAAAGCTACTGTAATAAAATCAGCATGGTACTGGGAAAAAGAAAAAAACAAACCACACCTGAGGATCAGTGGGACAGTTTAGAATACTAAGACACAACTACAAACACATTCATCCACCTTATCTTTGACAAAGTGACCAAACATGTTCACTAGAAGAAAGATACCCAGGAAAACTGGCTCTCTACGTGCCAAACACTAAAACTAGACCCATTTCTATCATCATGCACTAAATTATAGTCAAAATGGATTAAATATTTAGATATTAAAACTGAAACACTAAATTTACTGGAAGAGAAAGTAGGTATAAATCTTGAAGACATAAAGGTAGGTAGACAGTTCTTGAACAAAATCAAAACTGCATGGGAAATACCTCAAAGACTCAATAACTGGAATATCCTTTTAGTGAAAATTTTTTGCATGTCACAAGAAATCACCAACAGAGTGAAAACACTACCCACAGAATGGGAATAAATTTTAGCCAGCTGTCCTTCAGACAAAGAAATTGTATTGAGAAATATAAAGAAATTTTAAAAATCAAATTCAAAGAACAGATTAGAATATACACATACCAAATGTTCACCATCATTGGCCATTCAAGAAACTAAAATTAAAGCAACATTGACATTCCATCTCACCCCAGAAAGAATGGCTATCAAGATAGCAGCCACTAACAGATGCTAGAGGGGCTGTAGGGGGAAAGAACAGTTCTCCAGTGTTAGTGGGAGTGTCGACTGGTACAACCACTGTGGAAATCAGTAGGAAGATTCTTCAAAAAGGTACGATTTGAGGTTCATTTGGCCCAGCTATTCTCCTTCTGGGTACCTTCCCAGAAGAATTAAAAACATAACACCACAGTGATATATGTGCACCCATGTTTAGCAGCACAATTTGTAATAGCTAAATATTGAAAGCAACACAAATGCCTGTCATCTGAGGAATGTATAAAAAAGATGTATTTCTATATAAGGGATTACTATTCAGTCATAAAGAAGGATAAACTTGAGATTTTTATAGGTGAACGGATGCAACTTTAGGCCATGTTCATAAGGGAACCAAATCAGACTCACGTGTATAAACACCATATTGTCTTCCTGGTGTGGGAAACTGAAAGCGAGTAAGGCCTAAAATGGACAGTAGATATCGTGGGCTGGAAAAATTTGTTCCAAGGAAAGGGGAACTAGGCTGATGGAGAAGAGAAAGACAGAAGGGAAAAAGGAAAGAACATGCAAGTCGGTCACACTATCAGGGTCTCTTCGAACACTGAAAGGGAAGAGTTCTGCTAACACTGACTGAAGAAAACTTTAGCAGCCATATCCGTACTCTGGATAACAACTTTGAAGACAATATGCAATGTATTAACTACTGTTATTCTCCGACTGTTATGAAATTGTATTTCAGCCTTTTACCATTAAAAACAGAAAGAATGGAGATGCCTCCCTGTTACTTTGGAGTAATCTCTAGGATACTCAGTGAGAAAAGCAGGAAAGATAAAAAGGCATGTCACTATTTTCTTATGGATTCATATGTACATACGTACGCTTAAATATAAACAAGGGGAAGATAAAGCACACACTGGGGTGGGGGTACCAGGACTCGAGCTCAGGACCTCGCGTTCACCAGGCAGATGCTCGCCACTGAGCTGTATTCCCAGTCTCTAAACCATTCATTTTTAAAAAGGGCACCTGTAAACCAATCACATGCAGTAGGCAAAAATGGCAGCTAGATTTTCTTGAGCACATTATTTTTTAAAAGATTTTATTCTAGAGCCAATAAGACTTTACCTAGTCATGAAAGAGCATTAAAATTATACTATGTCCCAAGTAACACGGCTAAGATAACATAGATGGATATAAGTGTGTATCTAGGTGGTGGCATAAACATAGACAGAAACTATTCCAAATGATTTTAAAACCAATAATTGGACTAGACTGCCTTAGAATAGAGTGGTGTATATTCCTCAGGTCTATCTTAAGGACAGAAACAAATGCATGTGTGGCTTTGGCATTGTACTGTAGGTGATGACATAAGAATTGATATTCTAATTGCGTTGTTCATATACATCAAATGAGTAACTATGTTGACATCAGTGAAAGGAAAGATTTTTGACATGATTGAAGGAAAATACAAATGTAAGATCAATGAGGTTAAGTAAGAACACGATAGTTTTGGAAAGCAATCAGTAGTATTAGCGTACATTCATGGTGTGCTTTATCTTTAAGACAAACACAGAAACTTCTTTCTAGATCCGTCCACTGGAAATGCTCCAAGTAATGACAAGCAACGCAGAAACAAACACCTTGTTCACTCACACTGTGTTCTCCATAGGTCATTTTCCACTGAAAGGGTCAGAAGTCTTTGGGGAAGTAGCAGAGTCCGGGTCTGGTATGT